CCCAATCAATAATACGTCTTTCTTTCCAACCAACTAGTTGTCTGCAATTCAAACCTCACCTAAAAACGGTGTTTAGAACAATTTCCTCACTTAGTCCCTCTGAGCCTCAGTTTCCCATGAACAGCAAGGAAAGGCTCCGGGCCAGCCACAGAACTTAAGTCTCCCCACTCTAAACCCAGCGACCTCTTATGTCCTTTTACGACACCTGCTCTCTTCTCCCACTGTAGATTAGTCACCTGGCTTGGTAGTTTATGAAGCAGTCTCTCAGAAGGTTAGGGGCCAGGGGAGGACGACCTCTTGGGAAGGAAATACTGCCAAGAGTTCCCAACAAGGCAGTAAAGGACACCACAGGGCAGAGGAGGCCCCACCAACGGCGAGCAATCTTTGAGACTGAGGTAATAATAGACAGTGGCCATATCTGCATTAAAATGCTAAAAACTGCGACTGTTAGCCACTCAATATAGAATCCGGCTCTAAGACTTTCCTCCAAATAACCTCTAAATTTATTAATTGATTTATTATAGGACAGGGACCAAACTTCCACGATGGTCAGAAATTCGCATGTGTGGTCTTATGAATGAACAAGCCTTTACTTGGTCAAAGAGAAGGGACTTCATACACACAAGCTGTCCCACTGGCTCCTCAAAAAAAGAGGACAGATCTCAGGCTACAAGGACATTTCTCATCTATTTTACCAGAATGACACCAGAGGTAAAGAAGGGAATGACGTCAAGAGTGTCATACTCCAAAGTATGACAAAGATAACAGAGATTAGAGGTAACAGTCAATGACATGAAGTCAGTCTCTGCCTGACTCTATGTGAACTTTCAAATTTTTTAAACAGGTAAATGGGGGGGGGGGTAGGATATACTAGGTCATCAGGAAAGTCCTGATGTATTTTTCTGTTTCTCAATGCAAATATGCATCATGACTTTCCCAACTAGGTATATCTGCTACTGCAGACAAAATTATAACAAGATCATTTTTTAAATAAATTGTTCCTTTGAAGAATATCAAAAGCATTCAACATTTCCAAAAATACAATGTGTTTTGTTGGGGTAGACTATTATGAACTTGATAACCAGATTTCAGTAAAAACATTATCTCCTGTGTTCAAGACAAGAGGAAGAAGTTAGGCCATATGAAGTACTACTTCTGTCAGCCACGAAATGTCCAGTTAGTCCTGCAGAAATGTGACTGGGAAAACAAACGTTTCAACTTAATTGGCTCTATGTAGGCCTCAGCTAATATTTTTTTAAAGGGAGTTATACAAAAACTAAGACTATCGTGTCCGTTTACCT